CTACATGGTTGTCACATAGTATATCCCAGTGCTCCTCCCGAACGACCAATACATGGTGTGCAGGTATGTGATTTGTTCTTTGTGCAGCTGCCAAAGGATCAGCATGTGGCACATCCACCCCCCCACCTCGCCCCGCCAGAATACCCTTCATGTGGTGTTCCACGCTTACCTTCCTTGTGAATGGCCAGGTTTCACCCCACCACCCTGTACATAACTAGCACTAATGTGTTCTCCCCCCAACTCATAGTGAACACGGTATTCCTCAGGGGTGAGCAAAATACAGCCTGCAGGCTAGATCTGGCTCCTGGAGGGATTTTTTCTAGTCCATGACGGGTCCCTTGGTCCTGCTTAGCCCAGGCGTGGAGGGCAGCCCAGGCCAGGACACCCTAGAGTGGTAGACACACCCATCAAGAGAGCAGAGGCAGCTGTTAGCTTCTGAGCTGGAGCCCCAGCACCAAAGGGGCCACTCCCACCCACCTGCCTCAGAAATCAGAGGGAGCATCAGTGCCTGTCATGGGCTGTATTGCAGGACCCAGTGTCAGGTGCCTTGGGACAGGAGCCCAACAGCAACTGGTTGCGTTCATTGAGCTGCTGCTCCTGATCAACCGTACTGCACAGCATCTCCAGTGTGGCTCCCATTGTTTGGCTGCCACCTGGTACTTGCCACTTGATGTGCCCCGCACAGCCCTGCCCAGCCCACACTTTCACTGTCCAGAGCCCAGGCCCTCTGCTGCTTCCCACCTTGGCAGCGACCCCACCACATCCTGAACCACAACCCACTTTCAAACTCCCACTTTCACTCCCTTTGTTTCCACCTCTGGCTCCTTCCAGCAGTGCCCAGGGATGCAAATGGTGCCCACTTAGGTCTGTCTCCCAACACCGTTTGGGCTGGGCTAATGCTCAGCTCCATGCAGCCCAGGGAGTCAGCATCCACAGAAAGAGCCAAGCCCCCACTGGGACTGCAGAGCTAGTGGGAGCCCTTGCATTCTGCTGGCTCTGGGTGCCTTCAGCTCCCAGTGCAGTGTCCCGTCAGCCATGAAGCTGATGGGACCCTACCAATGACTGCGCAGTATGCATTGAGGGCTACAGGTTGTACAGATGGGACAGAGTAAGGAGGAAAGTTGGAGGGGGTTCACTCTATGTTAAGGATCATTATACATCTACCCCAGTCAAAATGGGAGGAGGAGAAAGTCGAGGCATTGTGGGTTAGAATACATGGAGGTCGAGGGGAAAGGGACTTGGTGGTGGGGGTCTGCTACAGACCACCACATCAAAAGGAAGAGCTAGACTTGGAATTCTTGAGGCAACTCTCAGAGGCCGTACAGGCTAGGGACGTGGTTGTCATGGGGGACCTAAACTACCCTGACATCTGCTGGGAGGAGCAGTCAGCCAAATCCAACTGTTCACGTAGGTTCTTAACCTGCATACAGGACCTTCACCTAATGCAGGAGGTATGCAGTCCCACTAGGGAGAATGCCCTACTGGACTTGGTGTTGGCTACGGGAAATGACCTGGTAGGGGAGCTGCAGATTCATGGTCACCTTGGGGACAGTGACCACCATACAACAGAATTCACCATACGGCGCAGAGTGGGTAAGATAACTAGTAGGGTGGAAGTGCTTGACTTTAGGAAGGCTAACTTCAGTGTGCTCAGGAGTTTAGTCAATGATGCACTGCAGGATAAGAGTATTGGAGAGATGGGAGTCCAGGAAGGCTGGTCATTCCTGAAGGAAGCAATCTTTCGGGCACAAAGGGAGACAATGCCATTGCAAGGGAAAGGGGGAGAAAAGGGCTAAAAGTCTTCCATGGCTAAACAGAGAAATCCAGGGGAGCCTAAGGGCAAAAGAAGAGGCATATAGGCGGTAGAAGCAGGGAGAAGCTACCAAAGAGGAGTATACTTACTTGGCCCACACTTGCACGGAGGCAGTTAGGAAGTCCGAAACAACTACGGAGCTAAGGCTAGCAACACATATTAAAGATAACAAAACATCTTTTTTTAAATATGTAGGGAGTAAAAAGGCACAGGGCAGCATAGGATCCCTTCTGAATAAGCAGGAGTAATTAGTGACAGATGGGGGGGGACAAGGCTGAGCTCTTCAATGAGTTTTTTGCCTCTCTTCTTGAACAAGGGTCAAGATAAGTCTCCTAACGGGTTCCTACTTGGGCACCAGAGGGACACCAGCCTACCAACTGTTGACGCTGACTTGGTGCAGAGTCACTTGGATGGACCGGATGTCTTTAAGTCAGCAGGCCCAGATGAGCTTCATTTGAGGGTACTGGAGGAACTGGCCGGTGTCATAGCAGAATCGCTGGTACGACTGTTCAAGCGCTCGGGTTAGGTCCTGGAGGGCTGGAAAAGGACCAATGTGGTCCCATTTTCAAGAAGGGGGGGGAAGGAGGATCTGAGTAATTATAGGCCAGTCAATCTCACCTCCATCCTTGGAAAAGTCTTTGAAAAGATTATTAAAGATCATATTTGTGCAAGTCCAGCGGGAAAAATAATATAGCAGGGCAACCAGCATGGATTCGTAGCAGGCAGATCATGCCTGACTATCTGGTTTTGTTTTATGACCAGGTCACAAAATGCTTAGATGCAGGAGTAGAGGTGGATGTCATTGTCTTAGATTTTTAGGAAGGCCTTCGATACTGTATCTCATCCCATTTTCATGAATAAATTAAGAGGCTGTGACTTAGATGCTTGCGCAATCCAGTGGGTGGCGAATTGGCTTGGTGGTCATACTCAGTGTGTTAGTAGACGGGTTGGTATCGACCTGGAAGTATGTGGGTAGTGGGGTCCCACAGGGCTCGGTCCTTGGACCCATACTTTTCAGTGTCTTCATCAGTGACTTGGATGTGGGCATGAAGTGTACTCTGTTCAAGTTTGCGGATGATACTAAATTGTGGAGGGAAGTGAACACTCTGGAGGGTAGGGAACGATTGCAGGCAGACCTGGACAGGTTGGATAGATGGGCAGAACACAATAGGATGCAGTACAACAAGGACAAATGCAGAGTGCTGCACCTAGGGTGTAAAAATATCCAGCACACCTACTGGCTGGGGAATGACCCTCTCAACAGCACAAAAATGGAAAGGGACCTCAGAGTCATAGTGGATGTCAAGACGAACATGAATTGTCAGTGTAACGAAATCATTAGCAAAGTGAACTGCACTTTATCATGCATCAGCAGATGCATGACAAATAGAACCAAGGAAGTGATACTTCCCCTCTATGTGGCATTGGTCAGATCACTGTTGGAGTACTGCATCCAGTTCTGGGTGCCATACTTTAAGAAGGATGTGGATAATCTTGAGAGGGTCCAGAGGAGGGCCACTCATATGGTTAAAGGTTTACAGGCCAAGCCCTATGGGGAGAGACTAAGGGACCTGGACCTCTTCAGCCTCCTCAAGAGAAGGCTGAGAGGTGATCTTGTGGCCACCTACAAATTCATTAGCGGGGCACAACAAGGAACTGGAGATGCTCTGTTCACCAGGGCGCCTTTTGGGGTAACAAGGAGCAATCATCACAAACTGACAGCAGATTTACGCTGGACATCAGAAAGAGCTTTTTCATGGTAAGGGTGGTCAAAACCTGGAATGGACTTCCAAGGGATTCATAGATGTTAGGATCGGAAGGGACCTCAATAGATCATCGAGTCTGACCCCCTGCATAGGTAGGAAAGAGACTGGGTCTAGATGACCCCAGCTAGATGGTTACCATATACATATGGTATATGCCTTTAGTAAAATACTTTGGACTTTGACTTGGAAGAAAACAATGCAAGAGTGAAAGCTTAATTCCATCCCCACTGTTACACCCCGACTCCATGAGGTGCCCAACAACTAGGGAGATGACGGTCCAATTACCCATGGATCCTGTTGCTCATTAGCCAAAGCATGGCAGGGAGCAAACACTAGCACACATTGCTTGCAAGAGCATTATTCAGAATGGAGACAGCTTTGGACTAGCTCCCACACTGACAGAATATGGGGAGTTGCACTGAACAACAGTTCTTTCCAATATTTATAGCTTGGTTCATACTTTTGGTCAATTTGCAGTTTCTTGCTGGTTTTCTTGCTGACTTCTCCATCTCCAAGGCTGTATCTTTGCTTTTGTCTCCTGACACTAGTTACTTAACACATCATGCACTTTACACCCTATCCTTTTGTTAAGAATCCGCTTACATAAGCATTACCTAAGCTAGTTGCTTTTAATACATCAGCTAGCCTTGTGACCAGCAGCTTTTTGCTGAGGCACAGGAAAAAGCCTTCATTCAACTGCACACTCAGTACTCCCCAAATTCCATATTGTTACCCCAACATCCAAAATGCATACTGTTACCCTAACACCCACATTATTCATTGCTTAATTTTTTAGGTAATTCTGTTAACCAAGGTGATAATTAAAGAATAGCAGGAAACTGGTTTGTAATATAAGGACATTTGGTGACCAGGAGCTGAATTATGACTTTCAATTATGACTTTCAATTCATTTCAGAGTTTTCAGAACAGCTGTCAGATTAAATGACCTAAGTCAAATTCATATAATTGGCAGATACATAAAAATCATGACTACACATCACTCTATGTCATAGTAGCAAAGTGCTACATCACTGTATTATGTGCTACAGTGATGTACCAATCACATGAGTCTACATGTGACCAACTGTTACTTTGCTGTAGCAGCACCCTCCCCCATTTTAGCTCACTGAGGCACGATCTGCCTGCTACGAACCTGTGCTGGTTTCCCCTCAGCATAATTTGTCCTGCCGGGCTCTTGCGAATGTGAGCCTTGATAATTTTTTCAAAGATTTTGCCAAGGATGGAGGTGAGACTGACTGGCCTATAGTTGCCCGGGTCCTCCTTCCTCCCCTTTTTGAAGATGGGGACCACGTTGGCCCTTTTCCAGTCCTCCGGGACTTTGCCCGTGCGCCACAAGTGTTCAAATATTCCCGCCAGTGGCTCTGCAATGATGTCGGCCAGTGCCTTCAGCACCCTTGGATGGAGCTCATCCGGGCCTGCTGCCTTAAAGGCATCCAGTTCTTCCAAGTGACTCTGCGCCATCTCAGGGTCTACACATGGTAGTCTGGCGCCTTGCTGCTGCCTCTCTACAATCCCAGTGAGAGACTTGTCGTGCCCCTCGCTTAGGAACACTGAGGCAAAGAACTCGTTGAGGAGTTCAGCCTTGTCCCCCCTGTCCATCACCAATTGTTTCTGCCAATTGGTAGTGGTAGAGGTAGTGTTCTCCCCTACCTTGGGGGCCTTTAAGAGAATGCTGGATAGGAATCTGTCTGGGGTCATCTGCCTGGGGCAGGGGGTCGGACTTGATAATCTGTTGAGGTCCATTCCGACCCTAGCATCTGTGAAGCTGTTGCTTACTGTTTGGGTTCTGCGGGCTACTGCTATTTAGCTGGGAATCCCAGCCACTCGCTCCCCACCCATCCATGATCCCATCCCAGCTGAGGGTGGAGCAGAGGCACGATCTGCTGTCCACACACCCCTGCTAGGGTCCACAGCTAAGTGGTGGCAGCCCATGGAACCCAAACAGTAAGTGGTGACTGGGATCTACGTGGCCAGGCTGATGGAATCAGCCCCTTAGGGAGTTTTTGTAAGTCTTTGTTGGGTAGGGGAGGGGTCACTTGGCCCGTGACAGCTGAGCAAAGCTCCATATGTGGCCTGTGGGTCTGAAGAATCTCTCATCCCTAGTGTAGATCCTGCTTCCCTTTATGAATGATCCCCACTTGGCCTATCCCACTCCCTCCCTTCACAGCTAGTACAAATGTAAAAGCTTTTTAAAGAAAATATTAAAATCATAGTAATCGCGTGGCTTGGCAGTTAGAAGGCAATACAGGACCCTGCTCATAGTAGCTACATAGGGACATACTGGATGTATGTTAGCACAATCTGAGTCATATCATTAGTCATGCAAGCTGTGTTAGCTTAGGGTAGAATGCACCCTGCTTCTCCCCTTCAGAGACCAGCATGTGGTACATTCTATTCCTTTCCCTTCCCACCACCCAATAGCAAGCATATGGTAGGTCCTGGGGTGTCTGGCACTTCTTTGGATGTGATGTTCTACCTGCATAGCCCTGAAATCCAGACATGGCATGTTCCACCAGCCCTCTTCTCTGGACCATGGCATGTCTCACGTCCTGTACATGGTCCATTGTTCAGCTCCCCTCTCCCCCTGGCATACTGAGCACATGGTTCATCCCACCATTCCCCCCTCACTTCCTAGTTGCCCCCACCTGTCTAGTACACAGTCAGTTCCATTGCCCCCTTCCCCCCAGGTGGTACTTGGTACATTTGCATTGCTTGTCACCCCCCTGTTGACCAGAAGTTTATCATCCTGCCCCTGCCCTCCCCCCATATCTGACAATTCACCCCTTCTCCTGCAGGGGGTGGTCACGGCCGCTGTCAGCCTCATTACCTGCCTTTGCAAGAAGAACCCTGATGATTTCAAGACCTGCGTCTCTCTGGCTGTGTCCAGGCTGAGCCGGGTGAGAGGGGCTGGACAACTGGGTTTGGACCCAGCTCTGGGAGGGGAGTAGAGGTGTAGTGGATGAAGGATGGATTATAAGCCAAGATAAGGTTCTGGGGTCGGTGGGTTAGAGCAAAGGGCCTGGGAGCTTGAACACCTAGGTTCTATCCTAGTCCTTGGGGTGGGAGTATCTAGTGCTGGGGTGATGCACTGTTCTGGAATGTGAACCAAAGTCCACCAAGTAGACCACCACTTTGTGATGAGGGCCACTAAAGACATATTACTGAATATTTGGCACAACTGAAACACAAAATGGAGGAGTGAGGGTCATAAGTTCAAAATGAATGCACCAGGGGGGGATGACGACACTGAATAGAGCACACTGGACAGTGCCTACTGGCCCTCCATCAAGTCCAAGTGAAACTCTGCCTAGAGACATAAACGGATGAGGTTAGGTATATTGCCAGCTTGGCTAGGGCCAGGAGGAGGTTGACCCAGGAGGTCTCGGGACTTGGTGAGGCCACAGACAGGGAGTGTGTAAATGAAGAGGTATGGGGAATCATGCAGCTAGAACCTCAGTATGAGATTTTAGAGTAGGTGGTGCAGGGGCTGGAGTCTGGCGCACTACAGGTAATTGTATGCCAGGGCCTCCCTCTGCTTGCAGAAGGGGCAGGTGTTGGGGGAGTCCATGAAGTGTGCCAGATAAACGCCTATGGTGATGGCTCTGTGAAGGAGCCAACAGCTAAAATCCCTGGTGGCTCACAGAATCAGGAAGAAGTATAGGCTTGTCTGTCAGGAACCCTTGTCCTTGCCAAGTATGTCCCTGTCACTCGTTGTCCAGGCAGGACATGAGGGCAGGATGGTGGAGGGTACAGACCACAAGCATGTAGCTGGTGGCAGTGGGCTGTATGGAAGCGGACCAGCTTGGTATCCCCCAACTTGCTGAGATGGTGTGGTGGGGAGTGCCATGGTGTAACACTTGGGTTCTGTCCTAGGCCTCGGGGTAGGAGTGTCTAGCACAGGGATGTCACAAGTAGTGTAGGCAGCTTCTGTTTATGGCATGTGGCAGGCTGTTGGGGGGGGGGAAAGCAGGGAACACAGAGGCAGATAGGGTAGGGAGCAGAAAGCAGAGCAGCCACATGGGCAGGGATCACAGGTATGGGGCTGTCTTGTGGCTCACCTGCCAAACTGGTTGCCGCCTCATTGCTGTAGGGGGTGGGAGGATCGAGTGAGTTAGGCCTGGGAGCCAGGACTCTTGGGTTCTTCTCAGATTTCGGGGCTGTGGGGGTCAGCCTGGTGTGGGGATTGGCAGGCACAGGTACTCATTGCTGTCCCCACACAGATTGTCTCCTCAGCCTCCACGGACCTACAAGATTACACGTACTATTTTGTGCCGGCCCCGTGGCTCTCAGTGAAGCTCTTGCGCCTCCTTCAGTGCTACCCACCACCAGGTAATGGGAGGCAGGGGCTGCTTCCCTTTCTGGGCTGGGGACCAGGAGCCAGGACACCTGGGTTTTTGCCCAGCTCTGGGAGAGGGTGGGGGTTTGGTGGGTCTCCTGGTTTGTGCTGTGGCCTGTGCCCCTCTCCCTGGCTCTGCCACGCCTCATGCTCTGTGTCCCCAGAGGACGCGGCGGTGAAGGGGCGCTTGGTTGAGTGCCTGGAGACAGTCCTCAACAAGGCCCAGGAGCCACCAAAGTCCAAGAAGGTTCAGCATTCCAATGCCAAGAACGCCATCCTCTTTGAGGCCATCAGCCTCATCATCCACTACGACAGGTGAGGCCTGCTGATTCAGCCTGACTAGCCCTGCTGGTGCCCCTCATTCCCAACCTTCAGCCCCTTGCCCATCTGCAGCCCCCTGCTCCTCTCCCTGGGTTTCCTCCTTCAGCCCCTCACTTCGAAACAGCAGCCCCCTACCAGCCCTAAGCTATCCCCCAGCCCTGTTGGTGTTCCTCACTCCTGCAGCCCCCTGTCCAGTCCTACCAGTGCCCCTCACTCACAGTCCACAGGCCCCTGCCCCCCTGCCCACTTGGTGCTTCCTCCTGGTCCTGCCAGTGCTCCACACTCTTCTCTGCAGCCTCCGATCTATCCAGCCCTGGGTTCTACCCTAACTCTTGGTAGCAGAGCCTCCTGGTGCCCCACAGCCCTTAGCTTCCCCCAGCACTGCTAGTGTCCCCTTGCTCCTGATCTGCAGCCTCTGCCAACCCAGTCCTGGGTTTCCCCGTGAGTCCTGATGGTGACCCTCACTCCCAACCTGCAGCCCCCTGCCCTCAAGCCCTACAGGTGCCCCTCACTCCCGACTCACAGCCCTGTGCCCCCCACAGCCCTGCAAGTGTCCCTCGCTCCTGGCCTTCTGTCTACTAACCCTAATGTCTTCCTCCAGTGAACCTAACCTGCTGGTACGGGCCTGTAACCAGCTGGGCCAGTTCCTCCAGCACCGAGAGACCAACCTACGGTACCTGGCTCTGGAGAGTATGTGCACCCTCGCCAGCTCTGAATTCTCCCATGAGGCTGTCAAGACCCACATTGAGACCGTTATCAATGCCCTCAAGGTGAGGGGGGTGGGGCCTCTGAGGGGGCAGGGCCTGTGACAGAAGGGTCAGGTGGGCAGGGGCATGCTCTGGGTGGAGAAGGGGGGAGGGGGAGCAGCCTGAGCTGGGAGAGGTATATCCTGCTGGAAGAGGGAGGGTCTGGATGGGGAGGAGTTTGGGTGGTTTTGGCCCTGTGTGTTCTGGGAGAGGGCGGAGTTTGTAGGGGGAGGATGTGACCAAAAAAGAGGAGTTTGATGGGAGGGAGTGGTGAAGAAAGGAAAGGGCTTGGTGTTAGGGCAGGGGGAGGAGCTTGGATGAGTGGCTGTAGTTTAGAAGGGGAAGTGGCTGGGAAGGAGCCTGTTGGATGCTTGTGCGTGGGCAGATGTAGGATTTTGAAAAGGGGAGTGCAGATTGAGACACATCATCGCATATAACACAACACACATTTTTCTCCAGTTAATTCTCTAGCTTTCTCTAGAAGCTTCACTAATAGGCTGTGGGGTTAGCACTATATCACTGGGTTTAAGATAAAAGTAAAAGCAAATACAAGCGTTAGGATGTTCACTGATTGGCTAGATTATATTAAAGCTTATAAAAACCATGACAAACTAGGCAAAAAACAGTCAAAATAGTCTAAAGAGATTGAGTCACGAGTCTTGTAGTCATCAAAACCAAATCTAGTCTTCTTCAGCATCTTGACAGTGCCTCCAGTGCTTCACTGTCAGCCCCTTCCACAACAGAGTTAACGTGACAACACCTGAGTTAAGGCTTTTAGCTAGGGCTAAGAACAGTTTGCAGGGCTGTGAAACAGAAAAGAGACGTTACCAAAAATGGGGGACAGACAGCAGAACTGAAGGGGAAAGGATAGTTTAAACAGGGCATAAGAAGATGATTAAAAAGTCAAGGGAGTCATTAATATCTGTGGAGCGGAGAGAGATTAGCAGGAACAAGGGAGATAATCACGAGCCATGAAGTTAATTGACTCCCTTTGTGCTGCCTGACTAGAAATGCTGCTGCCACTGCCAGGCACTTGGTTTTAAAGTTTGGATGGGGCAGGAATCGAAGCGGGGTGCAGCTGTACCACTGCACCCCCACACCCCGCACTGGATCCACCCCTGTTTGCTAGGGGACAGGGCTTGGAGGGAAGGGGTGGCCAGAAAGAGGAAGAGCTTGGAGAAAGGGTGTACTGGGGTAGGAGGAGGAGCCTAAGAGGCATGCCCATAAAGCAGGAGGAGCTTACACTGAGGGGCTTGGCCAGGGGAACCTAGGAGGACTTCTAGGAGGGCAGGATTATGGGGGTCACTTACCTGGTGTCCCCATGAGGGGAGTGTAGGGAGATGGTGCCCCCCCTCCCCCCCTTCTCACTGTTTGTCGTTCCCAGACGGAGCGGGATGTGAGTGTGCGGCAGCGTGCAGCTGACCTGCTGTACGCCATGTGTGACCGCACCAATGCCAAGCAGATTGTATCAGAGATGCTGAGCTACCTGGAGACAGCCGACTACTCTATCCGTGAAGAGATCGTGAGTCTGCCGAGCCAGATGCCTAGATCCTGTCTAGTGGTTTGTGGGGGGCAGGGCTGGGAGCTGGGGAGCCAGGATGTCTGGGTTTTCTTGTGGCTCTGGGAGAGGAATAGGATTTGATGGATTAGAGCAGGGGGGGCTGGTACCAGGACTCTGGGGTTCTCTCCCAGCTCTAGGAAAGGGATGAGGTGAGGCATGGTAGATTAGAGTCAGGGATGGGGTATGCATGTGTAGGGGTGGTATTGGGAGATACCGGGTTGAGGTACAGTATGAGCTGGGGCTCCATGGTGCTCCCTCAGGTGCTGAAGGTGGCGATCCTGGCGGAGAAGTATGCAGTGGACTACAGCTGGTATGTGGACACGATCCTCAACCTGATCCGCATCGCAGGCGACTACGTGAGTGAGGAGGTCTGGTACCGCGTCATCCAGATTGTCATCAACCGGGATGATGTCCAGGGCTACGCCGCCAAGACTGTCTTTGAGGTTGGCTGAGACCATGTGTGTTTGTGGGGTGGGGGGGAAGCTGGCAGGGAAGGGCACCCCCTGGGTGGGAGTGGAGCACTGTTTGGGGCAGCCCTTTCTCTAATACCCTTCTTTACCTCCTAGAAGTCCCCCTAAGCTCTTCTGACCATGCCTCTCAGTGTAAGCCCCTCCCACTTTCTAGGAACACCTCTTCTCTTTAGGTTTCTCCCCATGCCTTGGCTTTGACCCTTCTGTTTTCATCAGGCCACAGGGTAGTTAGGGGGCAGTAATTCCATAGCTCTGAAAGAATGTGGGGTAGATGCATGTGTTTTTTCACAAGGCTGTGTTTCCTTTGGCTGTCTCCCTTGGAGGAGATAGCTGGTCCCCTCTGGGACACCCCCAAGCTCCGTGGTCCAGGGGATGATAAAGGGTGGAGTAGACACATGGGTTTCCCACAGGGCTGCATCTCTGACTCCCTCAGTGAGGGAGGCAGTCCCTGGTCAGTGCCTCCCATGCTGCATCCCTTCCTCTGACTGCTTCCCCGTCCTCTCCCCACAGGCCCTGCAGGCCCCTGCCTGCCATGAGAACATGGTGAAAGTTGGTGGCTACATCCTCGGGGAGTTCGGGAATCTCATTGCAGGGGACCCCCGCTCCAGGTATGGCTGGGAGGCACTGGGAATTCTCATGGCAAGTGATGGGCACTGGCTAGAGCCTCTCCCTCTTCCCCCAGGACCTGGAGGCAGGCCATTGAGACTATAATAAGTGCATCCTGGGTCAGGCCAATGGTCCATCTAGGGAGGGCATTGAATTGGACATAACTAGAGTGATCTATCTCCTATTCAGCATCTTCTTTGGCATCAATTGCTACTCATCTAGAGAAGCCAGAGGAACCATCTCCAGGCGTGCTGTTCAACAGCTATTAATAGATCTCTCGTCCATTAATTTATCCAGTCCCTTGTTGAACTTGGCTGTGCTATCTGCCTTTGCCCTGGGCAGGGGAGATGAGTGTGGGGGGAGGGGGAGAGGGTCTTGTTCTTGAGGGGGCAGGTGGGCACATGGGGGGAGCTATAAGCCTGTGCCTCTGTTTTGGAGGTGATGCCCCTGTGCCTGCACTGGGGCAGGGGACAATAGGTCCCTGCTCCTGCCTTGCTTGCGGGGAGCTCTCATCATTACTAAGGGCAGTTCATGAGGGGAGTTCTTTGCCTTCCCTCATGGGGTCTAGAGCCTGCAGCACTGGGGAAGGTTGTGGGGCACTGGTGAGGGGTCCATATTGTGGTAGGGGCTGGACTTGATCTCAAGTCTTAAGGGGCACCACATCCTGTGGCAATGAATTTCACAGGTTAACATTGCATAAAGGAAGTACTTCCTTTTTGTTGGTTGTAAGCCTGTGTCCTGCTAATTTTGGTGGATTCCCACTTATTCTAGCATCAGGGACTCTGCGAACAACAGTTCCCTGTTCACTTGGTCCACACACCTCATGATTGTATAGATTTTTATCATATTCCTCTCAGCCTTCTCCTTTCCAAATGGAAGATACCTCACCTTTTTAGTTCTGTCCTGGCCCGGCAACTGCTCCATCCCTCTGATCATTTTGGTTGCCTTTCTCTGTATTTTTTTTCTAATTTTACTACATCCTTTGGAAAAGATGCAGAGAAAGGCATCCAAAGTGAGGGGTGGTGGGGTCTCCCCTTGGCACAGCCACCACTGGACACCCAGAGAACAGTGGGCACCAACTGGACAGTCTCCCCAGCTGGGGTCACCAGTTCATAGAGCCACCAGGCTGGTAGAGCCCTCTCCAAAAGTCATCTAGTCTGACCTCTCCAGCATGAGGCAGGGTCGGTCCCATCCAAGCCAAGTCCTTGTCCAACCTACTCCAAACACTACACCACTACCCTGTTGCACAGCTATGAGGCCATTGCCCAAGGACACTGAGAGCCTCCACACCTGCCCCAGGTACAGCAGGGGGACAGTGGTTGGCAGTGTCCTGCTGCTGTTGGGTTGTTAAGTACACTGGAGTGACCCATGAAGGAAGGCTCTGTACCTACTACAGAGGAAGGCAACTCTTCCCCCCAGTCTGCACCAGTCAGACTGGGGTAGAACTCCTTCCTGACCCCAAATGCAGTGTTAGGCTGACCCTGAGTGGAGGGGCAAGACCCTCTAGCCAGGAACCTCCAGCTTTAAGTCTCAGTAGAAGCATTGGCACAGCCTAGTTCCAGTCCCCAGCCTTGGCTGCACCCAACATCCAATGCCTCCAGGGAAGGCAAAACAATCCCCTGATACCTGTAGCAACAAGAAAGGAAATAATTCCTTCCTGGGCCCACATGACTACCAGCAAAGCCTGGAGAAAAACCAGGCACCCTTCCCTCTGCTCTGTAACTTGGGGTCTATATGACAAGAAACTAAAGAGTCCACCAGGTGCCAAAGGACTAGAAAAAGGCCAACGTGGTCCCCATTTTCAAAAAAGGGAGGGAGGAAGGAGGACACCAGGTAACTAGCCAAAGGAAGTTTGTTTGGTTTTTTTTTCACCCAGCATGTAATTAAAACATGGAACTCATTGCCACCAGATTTTGTGGAAGCTGATAGCTTATCTAGATTCAAGAAGGGATTGAACAGATTCTTGGAGAAAAGGAGCATCAGTAGCTATTAAGCATGGGAGTGAGCGGCACGGCCTCTAAACCATAACTTCCTGGACCTTAAATGCCAGAGGCTGCAAGTGAGAGAGAACAGTGGGAAAACCTTTGGTCATGCCCTGTTCATTCTCCCTTTTAGGGTCTGCTTTCTGCCCCTGTTTACACCGGAGGCTGGGCAAGATGGACCTAGGGTCTGACCCAGTAAATGGCTGTTCTTATGTTTTTATGACAGCAGACGGGTCTGCAAATCATACCTAACTGGACAACCTCTCTATTAACTTGCTACAACCTCTGTGAGCTCTTTGATGCTAGCCTCTTGCATGGCATGTACTGAGAGTGAGCCCCTGGCTCTCTGGTTGTGGAGAAGGGCAGGGAACAGGATCTGAGCACCCCTTAGAGTCTCAGTGCCACCTCAGGGAGTTCCCACCAGCTGTTGGTATGGGGTCGGGGAGCACGACAGAAGCCCTTCCCTGGGAGGCCAGCCTCTGCCTTCCTAAGCCAATGCTGATGGGGCAGAGGGTTGCAGCATAGTGGGTAGGGGCTATGGATCTAAGCTGTGGAGGAATGGATGCAAGCAGCTGTAACTCTTTGCCAGGGGGAGGGGAGGGAAAGGTGGGCCGGGCTGTGACCACCTTGAATGCCTGCGTCAGTGTGGCATGCATTGGCTGGCTTGGGTCTTCCTTCCCTAGGGCACTTGGTCTGTTTGGCTCTTACCCACCTCCCAGACAGCATCTTGCTCTGCCTTAGTCCCAGGTGAAAGTCATCCCGTTTCTCCCCAGCATATAACAACAGACAATGGAGGCAGGGAAACGGGCAGGCACTGTTATCAGAGACCTATTAGGAGCACATATTGCTAGGGGACAGATCTCAGCAGGGTCTGAGGACCCCCACTGGGATCACCAGGCAATGGGAGAATTGGGAGTGAGGGGTGCTGGGTGGGGCAGGGGGCTGTGGGTCGGGAATGAAGGTCATTGGCAGGGCAACAGCTGTGGGTTTGGAGTGAGAGACACCAGCAGGGTTGGGGTGACCCAGGGGATGCATTAAGGCCATGGGTGTGCTGAGCTGGGCTTGGGGCCAGGTCAGGTTGCTTAGAGGAGCCCCAGTGCTGAGGGTGGCCCCCAGGTCTGACCCCTCACCCCCCTCCCTTCCCCACATGTCTGCAGCCCCCTGGTGCAGTTCAACCTGCTGCACTCCAAGTTCCACCTGTGCTCGGTGGCCACCCGTGCCCTCCTGCTCTCCACCTACATCAAGTTCATCAACCTTTTTCCTGAGACCAAGGCCACTATCCAGGAGGTGCTGCGCTCCGACAGCCAGATCCGCAATGCAGATGTGGAGCTGCAGCAGCGTGCCGTCGAGTACCTCAAGCTCAGCTCCATCGCCAGCACTGATGTCCTGGTGCGGCCATGGGGTGGGGATGGGGCAGGGCCTCTTGCCTCAAGGGGGTGCTGGCCCTGGGGCAGGGAGTTGGGGGTAGGGGTGATACAGGGACCCCCTGCCTCAGGAGGCAATAGACCTTATCTCATTTTGGGGCACGAGGCATGGCTGGAGGGTGGCACGGGGTCTCTTGCCTCCAGGGGGTGCCATACCAAGGACACTTGCTGGGGCAGGGGGCAGAGATGCAGCAGGGGCCTGCCCCCTCTAGGGGCACCAACCCTCAGACAGAGGCACTGTCCAGCTCTCTGGGTGGGAAAGGGGCAGGCCGCCGCGGGCCCCCCCCCCCCCCCCCCCCTTCTGACATGTCTCCTGCACCTCTCTCAGGCAACAGTGCTGGAGGAGATGCCCCCATTCCCTGAGCGGGAGTCATCCATCCTGGCCAAGCTGAAGAAGAAAAAGGGCCCTGGGGCAGGCAATGAGTTGGATGATGGCAAGAAAGAGCCTGGGGCAGAGATTAATGGGGGCATGGATCCCAGTGCCAGTACCGCTGTGAGTATTGTGGGGGAGTAGGGGGAGGGGGAGGACAGCAGCTGGAAGCCAGGAGCTTCACACCAGAACACTTGGGTCTTATCCCACCTCTGGAAGGGGGGTGATTTTAGTGCATGAGGGTGTTGGGAGCCTGGGCTTCTCGGTCCTTTCCCCCATTCTCTGCACCCTACCTCTGGTATTTAGAGGGGCAGGGCTGGGAACCAGGACACTTGGGTTCTACAGGGAGCCAGGATATCTCTCCCTGGTGCCCCCACTGCCATGCATCCCCATAACCAGGCAGACCGGGTCATCCCCCACCTGGGATACTTCCTCCCAACCTTGCGTTGTGCCCCAATGGGATGAATTCACCCCACCCCTCATGTTCCCTGCAGTCCACTCCGTCGCCGTCCGCTGACTTGTTGGGACTCCGGGCAGCTCCCCCTGCCGGCTCGGCAGCCCCCCCCCGCCGGGCCGGGCAGCCCCCACCAGTGCTGGAAACCTCCTGGTGGACGTGTTCTCTGACAGCCCGGCAGCTGCCCCTGGCACCGAAGAGAACTTCCTCAGGTAAGGGCTGATCCCAGGTGACAGCCCCAAGTCGGGGTAGGACTGGGTGCCTCTTAATGCCCCCTCTCAGTTATATACCAGCCTGGTGGGAGCAGGGCAGGGCTTGGCACAGGAGATGGGTTGGTGGGGCTTGGGCAGGGGAGATGGGTTGGTGGGGGGAAGTAGCTGATGCATCTTATTTTGGGGGGCAGCTGGGACCGTGGGAGGTGCTATAAGCCAGTGCCTCTGCTTTGGGGGTGATATCCATGTGTCCGCATCGAGGAGCAGGGGGCAATAAGTCTCTGCTTCTGCCCCTGGTAGAGTGGGGGTCTCCTCATAAGGAGAGGGTCCAAAGTGGGGATGTTCTCTGCCTGTCCTCATGTGGGCCCAGAGCCTCCAGCACTGGTGAAGGATGTGGAGCACTGGAGAGGGGCATGCTGTGGTAGAGGGATGTAGAGTGCTGGGGAGGGCGGGGGACTTGCTGTGGTAGGGCCTGGGATGAGGTTGATATTGGGGCTTAGGGGGCAGCTGGTTCTCTCCAAGGGCTGTGATCTCAAGGTCATGGGGAGATGGGGACAGCTAGGGCTAACTCAGGGGGAGCAGGGGTCTGGGCTGTTCTGCCTTTGGGGTGGGGGGTGCTGTGCTGCCTCATGGGGGAGGGGGTGTCTGTGCTCACCTGCCATCTCCTGTTTGTCTCCTCCCATCGGGGTCTGTCTGTCCCTCTTTCTTGCTGCTCTCTTGGGATTGGGTGCCTCCCTTGTCTGTTGCTCTGCCGCTGCCCCGCGATTGGATGACGCAGTGACTTGGAGCCGCCCACTGAGAGTTCTGTGTCCCTATTGGTGGACGCAGCTGTGCCTGCCGAGTAAGGGGGCTCTGCCCATTGTCCCCCTGCCCCCTCCCCTCCACCAAGCCTCCCCCTGCACCTGGGAGGGGGATGGTAGGACACGTGGATTCTATCCCACCTCTGGAAGGGGAGAGGGGTCTAATGGGTTAGAGTAGAGGTAGCCCAGTAGTCAGGACTCCTGGGTTCCCCCCTGGTTCTTGGAGATGAGAGTGGGATCTGATGGGTTAGAGCAGGGAGCTTGCAGCCAGGACTCCTGGGTTCTCCCCCAGCTCTGGGTAGTGAGCGGGGGTCTGGTAGGTCAGAGCTCAGAGCCAGGACTCCTGGGTTCTCTCCTTGCACAGGGAGAGGAAGGGAATGAGATCTAGTGGGTCAGAGTCAATGGGGTCCCATCCAAGCTGTGGGAAGGGGGTGGGGAGATTTGAGTAGTCTAGACCAGTGGTTCCTCAACTGGTTTTGTACCAAGACCCATTTGTCAACATTGATGGCCAGTCCTGGCCTAGTGCCCCTCACTCCTGACCTGCTGCCAGTGTGTGGGACATGGGAAGCCCCAAGGAGCCCCTTGCAGGCTGGAACTGCCAGCCTGCAAGGGAAAAGCCACAGTTTCCCATGTTTTTCTCCTTTAAAGGAGAATCCAGTTTTAAAGTTTTTTCGCAACTCTTCCATATATTCTTGCAACCCACTTTTGGGTTACGACCCACATGTTGAGAAATGCTGGTCTAGAGCTCAGGCAAGCTAAAAGTTGGGACATCTGGGTTTTTATCCCACTAGCAGGGGGAGGATGGAGTTTGAGTGCTTTAGGGTGGGGGGAGACTGGGAGCCTGGATGCCTGGGTTTCATCTCCAGCTCCTTCCTCAGGGTGCCGTGACCTCCTGTGTCCCATCTCTGCCCCTGTCATGTGCTGCCTTAGCTCTGTTCATCTGTTTGTGTGTGTGTGTGTGTGTGCGCGTGTGCGTGCGCGTGTGTGTGTTTGTCCCGTCTCTCTTTCTCTCTCTTTCGGGAACTAACCTAGTGCGGCCTGGCACCCTGTGACTCATCTTCTCTGCTCTCTTCCCTGCACCACCCGCTGCTGCTCCCCCTCCCTGCCGCGCTCAGCGCGGGGGCCGCTGCTTCTGTCTGCGAGGACCCTGCTTTGCCTCTCTCTGAAGCTGATGAGCTGCTTAACAAGTAAGAGGGGCGGTTCCCAGATGCCTGGGTCCTGGGCAGGGCAGTGGGGTTATAGGAACCAGCTGCCCCCACTGCAGTTTCTCTCTTGCTCCTATTCCCCTCCCCAGTGTGGGGCATTGTGCTCCCTCCCAGGTGAGGGCTACAGGGTCAGTGCTTCACGCTTGCCTACCTCTTGCTCACACTCGTGTGAGTTGTCACATTCACATTGCACTTCTATTTCTCATGCTGTTAGGGGGGTGGGGGGCTGGGGTAATAGGAAGTCGGGATTGTGCTGCACAGAGCAGCACCCACAGAATGCAGTTATCTTGGTTGTCATTTAGGAGGGCATTGGGAGTGAGGGGCACTGGCAGGGCTGGGGTGGAGGCAGGGGGGCATGGGTTGGGAGTGAGGGGGCATCAGCAGGTCTGGGAGGGGAGAGGGAGGCTGTGGATCAGCAGTGAGGGGCACTAGCAGGGCAGGGGGCTGTGGGTTGAGAGTGAGGGGTACATTCAGGGCAGGGTGGTAGGGGGCTGTGGGTCAGGAATGAAGGGCACCAGGAAGATGGGGGTGGGGGAGAGTCAGAGGGGGCTGGAGGTTAGGAGTGAGAGGGGCATGGGCAGGGGGCTGTGGGTCGGGAGTGAGGGGCACCAGCAGGGCTTGGGGGGGAGGGAGGAGGTTAAAGGGGGCTGTAGGTCAGGAGTGAGGGGCACTGGCAGGGACTGTCCTGGTGCCCCCTTGCCCACCCAAGCCCCTTGCAGGTTTGTGTGCAAGAACAATGGGGTGCTGTTTGAAAACCAGCTGCTGCAGATCGGGGTGAAGTCTGAGTTCCGGCAGAACCTAGGTGAGCTGAGGGGATGGGAATGGGGATGTGTAGCTTGGGGAGGGTGTGGGGGAGCTGGGGCATTGGGTGGTTCCTAGCAGGGCTGGGGAGCAGAGAGAGTTGCACCCTAGCCTGGGGTTTAGGGCTGGGGGGAAGGGGGCTCAAGGGAGGGGCAGGGCTGGGGTCTCTGTGGACTAAAGCATTCCCTCTGCTGCTGTTTCAGACCTAGTGGGGAAGATGATTGGGGGTCCTGGTGGGGTGGATTCCAAGAAGTGTCGGAGGGGGTGTAGGGATCTCAAGAATTGTGGAAGGATGAGTAGGAGTTTCTTGGGGTAGGCTGGGGGGAAACCCAGGGGCTGTGGGAATGTGGGGGTCGTAGGGGGCAGGAGTCCCTGGGGTTGTAGGAGGAGGGGTGGGGGTCTCTGGGGGGGGGGGGG